ACCCAGCTGCCTCCCTCCAGACCACAGCAAGGAGTCCTGCCAAAACAAAGAGGAATAAAGCCGGCCTCCTCCCCCACCCACCTGACCCACTCCCCACCCCTGGCCTGTGCCCACATCAGCCGTTGTCCCCTCACACCATGTCTTGCCTGCGGGAGCGGGTCAGGCTGCAGACCGCCTGCCTCTGCGTCTTCCGGCTCTCACCTCATTCATCAGCTTCAGGCGGAGGTCAGAGGCCCAGCCCCTTATGCACAGACAGGGAGGGCCCAGGCAGATCCCAGGTTTCCCAGCACACACCTACCAGGGTGCCCGGCCCTGTGGTCGGCGGCCTGCCAGATGCAGCCTGCCCAGTCCCGGTAAAAACCAGCCAGCCTCCATTCCCACAGCCCCCTACACCGCGGCCCCACCTCGTCCACACCCAGCCAGCTGTCTCCCGCACCAGGTTAATCCAGGGTCCTCTCAGAGAGGCGGGCCTGGTTAATCAGAGAAGGAACCAGGTACTTTATCACCTGACACCTGGCTCTCAGGAAGAGGCGGGGCCAGGACCCCAGGATAGTGAGAAGGACTAACAGCAGGAGCTGGCCTGACCCTGACCGGAGCCCCCACACCCCGCCAGTGCCAGTGCTCCTTCCCCCAATAACACACACAAGGCTGTCAGAATCCAAAAGCTTTTTAATAACGGGGCAGCATCTGGGGTTAGTTCTTGTAGCCTCTGCTGGCACGTCGGCCTCTGGCACGCTCGAACTTCCGGCCCTTAGAGCGGACATAAGGTCTGTGGGGAGAGGAGGGAAGGTAAGAGGATGTCCACCTCCCAGGTGAGGGGGAGGCAGGTGGCCTTCAGGGCCTCCTTCTGTGGGGCTGGGACTCAGCAAAATGAGGCGAGACTCCAGAAGGGCGCCTTGCTCAACTAACCAAAAGGGCAGCAGCCGCCGGCACAGTGGCAGCCTAAGAAGCCAAGGTGCCAGGCCTTGGGGAGCTGGCAGGACAGCAGGTGAGGAGGTGGCAGGGAGATCTAGGGGGACTTGGGGACCGTGGCCTGCAGAGCCAGGGTTCTAATACTCACTTGGTGTGGCTGTGCGGGGTTCCAGGGGCCTTGCCAAAATGCCGGTACACCTCGCGGCCCTTGCGAGGACCTAGGGAAGGCACAAGTCAGGCAGGACTGGGCACCTGCACCTCCCACAACAGCTGCCCTTCTTGTGACCCCACAGGGCAGAGAGTAACTGGGCAGGGGGGGGTTGATCCCGACCTCCAGGAGCTGCTCAGCTCACCCTGCCCCCCAATGGGAGCCACTGAGCAGCACTCACCAGAGAGTAGGACGGTGCCACAGCCCTTGGGGGAGTCCAGGGCCAGCTGGTCGAAGGTGAGGATCTTGCCCCCAGCCTTCAGGATGCGGCTGCGGGCCCGGCTGGTCACACGCAGCGCACACACCTGGGGAGACAGGGGTGGGTCAGGGCCCCAGCTGGGCCTGGTAAGCAACACCACTGGGGATTACTGGGAACTTCCCAACTTGCAGCAATCATCCTTCCTTTAGGAACTTCTCCAAAACCACACCCCCGTGCTGTCATATATAAGGTAACTGATGTAAAGGGACCAAGGACTTCATCCAGTGGTGGCCGAGAAAGCTACACTTGAGCCTGGGGGGTCTCGCTCAATAGCCAGCGCTGTTAGAAGTGTGTGGGGTCCCAGGAGGGCCTGGTCCAGGGTCCTCCCCCCTTCTCACCCAGGCCAATGCCGACTCCATCTGATCCCAAAGCCACCTGGACAGGTGTGATGTTCGCCTCACCACGAGGAGAGGACCAAGGGTGTGCCAGCAGGCTGACGCCACCGCAGAGCAAGGCGAGGAGTCAGGTGTCCAGGTCACCCCGGCCTGTGCCCCTGATCCGCCCACTGTGCCTGCGCCCCCACCGCCTCACCTTCAGCTTGGGCACCTCCTGAATGCGCACATCATCTGTGATGGTCCCCACGACCACAGCCGTTTTGTTTTCCCGGCCAGGAAGCTTCATCTTGCGGATCTGGGCAGGTGGAGGGGTAGAAACAGCACATCAAGATGTCCGTCTGGTGCTAAGATCGGATCCCCTGCCCCAGGCCCCCGGGACAAGGACAGCTGTGTCCTCTCAGTGGGCCGACCCCCCCCCCATCTCCCAGACCTGAGCTGTGTCCTCTCAGTGGGCCGACCCAACCCACACATCTCCCAAACCTGAGCTGTGTCCTCTCAGTGGGCCGACCCCCCACACATCTCCCAGACCTGAGCTGCCTCAGCTCAGGCCTAGCCCAGAACACCCAGCGAGATTTCTCGCACAGAGGACTCAGTTAAGGTTCAAGTCATAGGGCTTGATGCTTGAGGCGATCTCATGAGGACACCAGAACCACCCCAGTCTCCCCAGAAGGAAATGAAGCCCAGGAGCCGAGCCAGCTGCCCCAGACACTCAGCTCCAACCGAGGGACATAGCTCTGCAGCCACCACTGGCTGACTGAAACCAGTAGATGTCCAAGGGGCTACCAGAGCCCTCCCTCACCCCTCGAGAGCACAGCTCCCCCTCCCAGACCAACCACTCACCATCCTGGAGAGGGACAGAGGGGGTCGGTTGGTGCGACTCATGAACAACCTCTTCAGCACAACTTGGTTGAAGGTGGAGTTGGTGCGTCTGGCCAGAAACCGGTACAGCTGGAGGGGGAGGGAAAGCAGAGTGAGCGCTGTCCCTTCTGGGGAAGGGACAAACAAATGACCTGGGTGAGGAAAGTTTTTGTGGCTCTCCCCCAGCTTGGTGGGCTGCACGGAGACACCAGGCCCAAGCTCTGCGAGGCTGGTGACCCAGAAACCCCCTTCCACTTCTATGCTGCATGAGAAAGTAGTGGGAGAATGAGTTAAAGAGTCTATTTTGGCACCAAAATCTGATCATGCGTGGTGTTTTCGTAATACACATTTTCCCTGAACTTGCAGAAGACCCCCCCCCATGCAGCCAAAAGGCCGAACACAAAACTCCAGGGCAGAATCAGAGACCGGCCACACCGTAGGCCCCTGGGTAGTGATACGACACTGCACCAGGTTCTGAGAGGTGCAGAGCTGGACGTCCCCACCCCAAGATCTCAGGCCCAGCCTCACCTTAACCAACAGCCTTAGGTAGATGTCCTGGCTCTTGGGCTCCTTGCGCCGAACCTTGCGGTCCTTGTTGTGGCGGATGTCAACTCCCTGTGGGGGTGAAGACCACGGGCCAATGACTAACCTCATAGAGTTCTCAACGATTACTTGTCCTGAGATTAAGCCGGGCCCCAGGTTGTGGAGATGACAGTTCAAAGCACAGGTCCACCAGTGGGAGACCCCTGGGCCTCAGCTGACCCCTCTAATAAAGAGGCTAATAGCAGACACACAGCACCTTGAACGCCGTACATGGGGTTGTACAGGAGCCACGTTAACTGCAGCTGGATTCTGCAGAACACAAGTGTTACTTAGGTTCTCCAAATAGCTCCCATGCTCACAGGACTAGCCAAGTAACAAAGTAAACTAGTGCCACTCCAATAAGGACCGCGTGCCTTCACTGAGAACTCAATTCTAAAACGACCCTGCGTGCTCATTTTCTTCAACCCAATAATCCTACAAGGCAGTGTTATCCACATTTTAGAGCAAAAAAAAAAAAAACTAAGGAAAGCTCACAACTCTACCTGCTTTCCTTAGTGGAGGTTTTTCAGGTTATGCTAATTCTAAGACATGTAAGTATTAGTAATAGTTCCATTCGGCCCCTGCAGTGTGCAAAATCCTGAGATGGGATTACTTGTGTCTTCAAGAAAATGATGAAAAACATCAGAGCACAGGTTGGGAAGCGACATTACAATGTGGGCAGGGAGCTGAGACTCCAACGGAGGCCCACCTGGCCTCCAAACCCGGGTATTTGACTCTCGACTCCCCCCCACATCCAAGCTTCCCACATTAGGGAATGACAAGTGGTTAAGAGAGACGGCGGGTCAAGACTCCTAGGTTGGATTCCTGCATCCGCCACTTCTAGCCTTATGAGCCCAATCATACCACGTGGCCTCTCTGTACCCCAATTTGGCCGTTTATCCAATGGAAGCGGTAAACGATGGGTACGGGAGGAGCCAGAGGCAGATTGACCCAGTCCCGGCGTCTGGGGCCCTACAGTAGTACCCCCGCCTCAGAAGTCGCCTCCTTCGGGACCCGAGAAAGCCCTGCCTCTCTCCGATACGCCACAAGCCAAAGACAACCACGGATGGCGGCGGATATACATGCCCAGAGAGCCTAAAAGCACGCTCACCATGATGGCGCCCTCTACTCAGCCAGGTCCGGAAAGAAAGAACTGCCCCGCGGTGGGCGGGGAAAGTCGTAGAGCGTCGCGGCTCGTGACGTCACGTGAGCGCGACGCAGCGCTCTACCAAGAGTCGTGCTTCTCTGTGGTGAGTCGGAGGACCGGCTAGAGGGGCGATAGCGGAACAGGGTGGAGAAGCTACCGAAGAGGAACATGCGTGACGTCAAGAAGGGCGGGGTCAGCACTTTGGGGGCCTCTCTGGCCCAATGCTAGCCCTGTTCTCGATAGTCTTCCGGATAAAAGGGCTCTGGAACTGAGAGAGATGAGCGGAGCTGGGAGGACGCGTCGCTGGGTGACGCTCTGGCCCGACGCCGACGGCCTCTCTGTGGCTTTTTTTTTGTCGACGACTCGGCGAGATGAGTATTGAAGGTGAGGAGGCGGGACTGGCGGGGTTAGTCGGCGTCTCCGGAAATCTCTGACCCAAAATTAGGATGTTGCCTTATCAGGTTCGCCTCTGTCTTAACCTCGCGCCGCGCTTCTCGGGCCAGCCGCAGCTCAGGAAGTCCTACTTGAGATCTAGCCCGAGATGATGTTGCTGCAGCTCAATCAGTAGCTCCCTGTGTTTCCATCTTTTTGATTCTTTTTCTTCTCCTGACTCCCCCTCAGCTTCAGGGGCTGCCTTTTTCAGCCAGAGAGGTTCAACTGGCCCAGCAGTTTGAGCCTGGAGAAGATGCTGAGACCCCGGCTTGGGGATGGGGTGGAGAGAGAGGGTGGGTAAAAAGCTCCTAAAAGAGAGGAGAGACGGAGACCTGGTGGGTGGGCAGGGAAGGAATGGGGAGATAGCCACCCAGAGAGAAGCAGATGGATGGTGAGACGGGGCCCAGCCAGGCTGTAACCAGTTCAACTTCTAGTTCTGCTGTTTATTAATGGTGTGACCTTGGACAAGTAAGTCACTTAACCCCTCTGTGATCTCGGGCAAATGACTTCACCTCTCTGTGCCTTATTTTCTTTATCTACAAATAAGGGGATGATAATAGGCCTGGCATGGAGAGCATTTTCTAGGATTGTGTAAATTAATAAAAGTGCTTAAGTCAATGCTTTCCACATAATGAGTGCTATTAGTTAGATAAAAATTAGACTTGTCTTCTTTTCCTGTGTGAAACCAGCCAGACTTGTTGGGGCAGTGACAAAGCTAACCTATCTCCCTTTTGTTCAGGGAAGACTCTGCCTCTCGGGCCTCAGGCACACTACCTGGCGGGGGCTCCCTGCAGTCTGCTCTCCCGTTCACTTTCCTCTCGTCCACAGAGCCAAAGGCCAGGCCTGGACAGTGAGGCCTGACTCGGCTGTGCCACCCCCCCATGGCCTCAGACCCAGGGCCAGGGCGCTGTTGATGTGACAGAGCAGAGGGCCGGCAGATGAATGGACACCTTGAAGCAGAGGAGCAGTGAGATCAGGTAAGACCCCTTCAGAAAGCCCAGATCATTGAGCCGTGAGGACACGCCACCCTAGGCCCTTCCATCAGGGCCCGCGGATCTTCTCTCCACGCAGGTGTGAAGTTCTCGCCCCATTTCCCAGACTGGGCAGCTGGGGCTGACAGTTCTCCGAGGTCGCCTGGGGAAATCTGTGTGGGCTGGAGGCACCCTCCTTGTTGTCCTGTTGCCTCAGCTTTATGACTCAGTCTTTGTGTTTGAGTCTCAACTTCCTTGTCGGCTCTCTCAGCCTTTCTCCCAGGGCCCCAGGCTCAGGTGCAATGTCAGGCTCTTATTGGGTTTCTGCCCCACCCCCCACATTCCTTAGCACGTGTTAAAAAGTGCATTGCTACTGTGAGTTGGACACAACAAGCCCGTAAGTGAATTTCTTGTCCTCTTTCCTCTTTCTAGCAAGCTCTGCCAGTTTCCTTCTATGTCTCCCTCTGCCACTCTGTGTGCTTGGATCTCCTGATATAGCCCTGCCTTGCTTTCTTGGAGGTTCACCCTGTCTTTGTGTCTCGTATCTTTGTTTTCTGTCTCTCTTGGTCTCAGTTCCTCTCAGCCTCTGGGCTTCAGACATTCTCCCCTCCCTCACCCCTGCCCTAGGGGGTCTCTTTCAGCTGCTGTCTCTCCATCTGTCCTCATGTCTCTGCCTTGACATGTGACCGGGTCATTCACTGAGCTGACGTTCGCTGTGGCTTGGCTGTGCCTGGAGCCCATGGCAAAATGGTTTGTGAATGAAAGAGACCTTCGTCCCTGGGTTTCATTCCAGAAGTGGCTGTCTCTGTCCGCATCTGTCGTTTTCCGGGATAGCTCGTGTCTTTACCTTGCACATTCTCTATTCCACTGCTCTCATCTCTTTGTTTATATATCTCTGCTCTTCTCTGTGTTAGTGTCTCTCTGATCCTGTCTGAAAAATAAAACATCACCCTTCTCCCCCAAGCCTCTTACTGCCTTTCACCCTGCTTCTGGGGCCTCTACCGTTTACTAACTCCCTTCACACGTCTCTGGGCCTTTGTCAACTGTGTTTCGGTATCTGTCTGCCGCTAATGACCTCCTCGCACAAGGTCCCTTTTCTTTTATAACGTCAATGGATGGGACAGACCCACTTGCCCTCGATAAGTATGGCGGCAACATAGCTGTCTGTGGGGCCTCGACGCCCCTCCGTTTCACATCTGCCCTCACCTACGATGGCGACGACGGGTCTCGCGAAGCACGTTGCTCCGCCCAGTTCTCGTGCTCTCCACCGCCGGTCCCTGCGCCAAGCTCGCGAGTCAGCGGGCCCCACCCCCGTGCCCACTCATTGGTGCTGCTCAGGATAGCGGCGCGGCCATTGGCTGCGCGGATGCACACCCTCCCCCCACCCCTAGGTCTGACGGGGGCGGCAGGTGCCCACTGGAGGACCCGCGTGTGAGGAGGGTGTAGGGGTCGGGGCGGGGACCAGAGTCTGGAGTACTGCGGAGCCAGGAGGAGCAGAAACGCAGGCCCGGGACTGAAGTAGCAGGAGATGGAAATGGAAAAGCAGGACTGGGGCTGAAGGATCCCAGGATGGAAACCCATGCCTGGGATTGAGTTCTGGAAATACCGGAGTGGGGACAGACGCTCCAGACCGAGGGACTCAGGGATAGAGACTCAGCCCTATAAATTGGGGACCTATGGATGGCGATCCAGGCCCGGGTCTGGGACACCTGGGAAGGACCCAGGCCCGGGACCGGAGGACATCGAGGGTACTGTGCCTGAGCCTGCTTTGAAGTTCCCAAAGGAGGCCGGTGCCGATTTGGAGGTGGGCTAGACACCCTGAGCCTGGGGAACCTCCCAGAGCAAGGGGACAGAGGTGGTTCCTGATGGTGAATCCACAGGTGGGTGTGTCCTGGCTGGTCTGTGCCCTAGGAAGGAGAGGCAGGACTTGACAGGCAGCTAGGTGGGGCGGCAAGAACAAAGGTGAGCAGGAAGGAGGCAGAAACTGGGCAGAGTGCAGGGGGAGGGCTCTGGGGAAGGGACCTCAGTCCTCACTCCTGGAAAGCAGGCAGCCAGACACCCAGGTCAGTGCTCAGGGGCCAGCCAGCTCTTGGCCCCTGTCCCTTGCAGGCGCTCTCGTGTGGCTCCCCTGACGGCTGTGTCACATCTCTGCCTGCTGCTCTGCTGCTCTCCCTTCTAACACTCCCTATCGCCTTTCTTATTGGAGTGAGAAACTCACCGTCCTAAGTACCTTCCGTCAACCTGGGCTGCTTCTCACTGAAGCTGTCGTCCCCTCTCGGTGTTCCTCTGGTCCCTATTCTTTTTCTTTGTGTCTAGGTGTCTTGCAGCCATTACTGTCTCCACCTGGGGATGATGGACGTGGGGGTGGCGTGGGGGCGGTAGCTTTCTCTGTCTTTGCATGTCTATTCAAGCATATGTCTCCAGCATTCAACCCTCCTCCTGTGCACTATTTTTCCCAACGCCGCGTATCATTGTTCTCACTATATATGTATTACTCCTTTATCTTGTTTTTCTGTCTTCTGATTAGAATATAAGCCCCATGAAGGCAGAGATTTTTGTCTCTGTTGTTCCTTGCTGTGTTTGTGGGGCCTGGTACTTAGAGACTACTGAATAGTTATCTGGGGAACCAGTGAATGAATGGTTCCATGCCTGGATCTCTGGGCCTTCCTGCCCAGCTCACCTCTGCCCTGCGTCTACTCATCCAAGCCTATCTCTGGTGCTCCCATCTCACCTGCCTACGTCCCTCGTCATTCCGTCCTGTCCACAGGCCCTGCCCCTCCCTCCACCTGCCATGAGGGTCCTGGACTCTGACCTCTGCCCCCCTCCCTCCCCACAGAGGCCGGGCCAGGAGTTGACCAGGAGCTGGGGCCACAGGCCTAGGAGCACCCTGGACAGGGCTGAGGACATGGCCCTGCCACCGCCACCACTGGCTGCCAGCACCCCACTCCTGCATGGCGAGTTTGGCTCCTACCCAGCCCGCGGCCCACGCTTTGCCCTCACCCTCACGTTGCAGGCCTTGCACATACAGCGACTGCGCCCCAAACCTGAAGCCCGGCCCCGGGGCGGCCTGGTCCCGCTGACTGAGGTCTCAGGCTGCTGTATCCTGCGGAGCCGAAGCCCCTCAGACTCAGCAGCCTACTTCTGCATCTACACCTACCCTCGGGGCCGGCGCGGGGGCCGACGCAGAGTCACCCGCATCTTCCGTGCAGACGGGGCAGCCACCTATGAGGAGAACCGAGCCGAGGCCCAGCGTTGGGCCACTGCCCTCACCTGTCTGCTCCGTGGACTGCCGCTGCCTGGGGATGGGGGTGAGGCGCTGAGCCCCGTCTGGGGGCATCTCTGCCTCTGTTTCCTGTGTCTGTCTGTGAGGTGTGCCTCCTGGGTCCCGATGGAGGAGGACGCACAGACAGGGGTGGGCTACAGAGGAACAAATCACAGCAGAGACAATGGCTTAGGTCTGCTGTTCTTGTTTCATTTTCAACTCTGTGCCCTCCCTGCTTCTGTGGGTCTTGAGCACGGATGAGTCAGAGGCTCCCGGGCTGCTGAGAGCACTGAACAGAAACCGTCAGTCACCACCCTCACTTAGGGCTCTCAGGAGCCTCGAGGTGGCACCCAGTCTAACTCCTGTGGAGGGTCAGAGGCGGCTTTCGGGCCGAGGAACCCCCACACCAGGGTCCTCGATGGCCAGAAGGTAAAGATTCAGGGCTCCCAAACTGGTTAGCCTTCTTTGTCCTCCAGGTTATCTGGGGGCCCCAAGGGCTAGGGACAGGGAACCCGGCCCAGAGCAGTAACCTGACGCTGGGTAACAGGTGTCCGGGGTGAGGGGCGTGGGAAGCTCGGCTCTTGTGTGCTTGCCTCACACACTGGCCCAGAGGGCACTTGGTGTCACATCCAAGCCCAGCCTTTGTCTCAGCACCTGGGGGACAGGGTGGGGCTGGCCAGGTGAGGGCCGGGAGCAAATACCTACTCCGCAGGTGCTGGCCCTCGCCAGTTCCACTGGGGCGGTGGGGAGGGACTGTTTCCACGGTGAAGGGCCTGGGTCTCTGGCCTCCGCAGACCCTACCCTTTCTCTGCAGAGATCACCCCCGACCTTCTGCCTCGGCCACCCCGGTTGCTCCTATTGGTCAATCCCTTTGGGGGGCGGGGCCTGGCCTGGCAGTGGTGTAAGAACCACGTGCTGCCCATGATCTCCGAAGCTGGACTGTCGTTCAACCTCATACAGACAGGTAAGGGCGGGCCAGGATGGAGGTGGGGGCCGGGGGCCAGACTTCCTAGAGGACCACACGGGTGGGTGGACCTCCTGCATCCTGGGTGGGGGGGTGCAGCTTGCTTGACATCCTGGTTCCCCACGTCAGAACGACAGAACCATGCCCGGGAGCTGGTCCAGGGGCTGAACCTGAGTGAGTGGGACGGCATCGTCACGGCCTCGGGAGATGGGCTGCTCTATGAGGTAGGGCAGCAGCACCCTGCCCCAGGCCTGAGCTCTGCAGGCTGTGGAGGCCGGGTCCGGCACCCAGGCATTGGGTTTCCCATCCCCCAGGTGCTGAATGGGCTCTTAGACCGCCCGGACTGGAAGGAGGCTGTGAAGACGCCCGTGGGCGTCCTCCCCTGCGGCTCAGGCAATGCACTGGCTGGTGCGGTCAACCAGCACGGGGGGTAGGTTGCATGTTCCTACTGGAGAGGCATGTGCCCTCCTGGGATAACGGGTCCCCACATCTCCCCCTCAGCCAAGCCCACTGTCAGTCAGGGAAATCTGTTCATCTGTGAGGTGCCCCTCCCCCCCCGTAGCTCCCGGACATCGCTGTCCCTCTGGTTCCCTGCTGTGCCCCGGGAGCTGATGACTGCCTGGTACATAGCAGCACTTGGTGAATGCTTTTGGGTGGGAGGACTGACGGGGAGCTAGGCCTCAGAGGAGGGTCCGCCTGGTGGTGGCAGTGGGCAGTGGGCTCAGGGACCCAGGCCCTGGCCCAGTGCTGCCTGCTGCCCTCCCCTTGCTCTGTGCCCTGCACTCTTGCCCACTGTCTGTCCGTCCATCTGTGTGAAGGTTTGAGCCAGCCCTGGGCATCGACCTGCTGCTCAACTGCTCACTGCTGCTCTGCCGGGGTGGCAGCCACCCGCTGGACCTGCTCTCCGTGACACTCGCCTCGGGATCCCGTTGCTTCTCCTTTCTGTCCGTGGCATGGGGCTTTGTGTCGGATGTGGACATCCAGAGCGAGCGCTTCAGGGCCCTGGGCAGTGCCCGCTTCACGCTGGGCACAGTGCTGGGCCTCGCTACACTGCACACTTACCGTGGGCGCCTCTCCTCCCTCCCTGCCACTGTGGAACCTGCCTCGCCCACCCCTGCCCATCCCGGCCCACGCCAGAGCTGACGCTGGCCCCAGCCCCAGCCCTGCCCATGGCCCACTCACCCCTACATCGCTCAGTGTCAGACCTGCCCCTGCCCCTGCCCCTGCCCCAGCCTGCCCTGGCATCCCCTGGCTCACCTGAACCTCTGCCCATCCTGTCCCTCAACGGTGGATGCCCAGAGCTGGCTGGGGACTGGGGTGGGGCTGGGGATGCTCCACTGTCCCCGGACCCACTGCTCCCCTCACCCCCCGGCTCCCCAAAGGCAACCCTACTCTCAACTGTCACTGAGGGGACCCCAGAGATGCCAGCATCCTCTGGGCTCCCACCTCCTACCCCTGCTGCCCCAGTAGATGGCTCTACCTGGGGACCACCTGACCACTTGCTGCCTCCTCTGGGCACCCCACTGCCCCCAGACTGGGTGACGCTAGAAGGGGACTTTGTGCTCATGTTGGCCATCTCACCCAGCCACCTGGGTGCAGACATGGTGGCAGCCCCACACGCGCGCTTTGACGACGGCCTGGTGCACCTGTGCTGGGTGCGCAGTGGCATCTCGCGGGCCACGCTGCTGCGCCTTTTCCTGGCCATGGAGCACGGTAGCCACTTCAGTCTGGGCTGTCCACAGCTAGGCTACGCCGCGGCCCGTGCCTTCCGCCTTGAGCCTCTTACGCCTCGCGGGGTGCTAACGGTGGATGGGGAGCAGGTGGAGTATGGGCCGCTGCAGGCGCAGCTGCACCCGGGGCTCGGTACTCTGCTCACCGGGCCTCCTGGCTGCCCTGGGCGGGAGCCCTAAACCCAACCACGCTTGGAACCCGCCGGGGGCGGGGCCTGAGTGGCAGGGTTCGGCCTGGCAGCTGGAGCTAGGGCAGAGGTCTCCGAGTGCAAAGGCCCTGGCCCTGTCTCAGGATTGCGCCCTCCCCCATGGGACCAGACGTGAAGCTGGTGGGTGGCCTCAGTTCCAGGAATAGGGTCGTCACGGTTACGACAACGGAGCTCGTCCCGAGGGTAGTGCCTGACCAGGGAGGGCGAGGCGAGGCGCCTGAACTCGGGCTGCTCTGGCGGGGCGGGATCAGCCCTGACCTTCGCTTCCGGCTCGCAGAAGTCCAGGGCGGCTGAGGGCGGAGCCTCTCTTGCTCGTCGCCCGTTGACGGGACCTGGGAGGTACGAGCTGCGGGGGAGCCTTAGGTAATTGGCCAGTCAGGGCCCGGCTCTCGCCCTATCCACTCCGGTGCCTCCACTTAACTGGCCAATCAGCCCAGGAGGGGCAGGTCCCCCGGGGCCGGCGCTCAGATTTGCACTAAAGTCCCTCCCTCCGCCAGTGGGGGCGGGAAATTCATTTCCCCCGTTGTCTCCTGTGCATTCCCCGTCCCCAACCTAAAAAGCAATTGACAAGGTCTATGCAATAAAGACAGTCGCTTCGTTCCTCTCAGACCTTTGCCACTTCCTCCATCCGACAGCTCGTTGGAAGTCTCGAACTCGGCACTTTCTGCAGCTCCAGCTTTTCAGGGGCCGCAGCCTGGATCTGCCCACAGACTATGGCCAGTTATGACCTGCCGGCCTTTAACCGGGCCCAGGGAGCTGCCTCCTCCCGCACGACAGCTGGCTCTGGGGTTCTCAAGATTTATTCAGGATCGTGTTACCGGAGGCGATGGGAGGATGGGGTCCCCGAAGTGCCTGAGGCACATACAGAGCACCTCCCCGCCCCCGCGGTGGAGGGGGGAGGCTCGCTTTTTCTTAAAAATATAAATGTATTAATCTGCATCATCACGTCCCTGGGGCACCCAGCTGGCCGGCCCGTGGGCCACAGGGCGGGAAGGGGAGAGGACACAAGTCTTAGCGAGGCGGAGTAGCGCTCCGTCGGCGGGGGTGGGGGCGTCCTCACAGCGCCCCGTGCTGGGCCTGGTAGCGGGACAGCACGGCGCGATAGTGGGACAGCTCCTGGCGCACGGCCACCACCTCCTGCCGCAGCAGGGCATTCTCCTTCTCCAGGAAGGCCGCCCGCACTGATATCTGGTTCTCCTTGAGCCGCCGGGCATCGCGGGACCGCTTGGCTGCCTCGTTGTTCTTGTACCTCCGGCTCCAATACTTCTCATCCTGGGGGTGAGATGGGGGAAGGCGCTGAGGTCCAGAGGGGCCCCGGCCCCGGTGAGAAAGAGAGAGAAGCAGCTTCTGGGAAACTCTGGGCGGCTACATGCCCAGCAGTGAGGACAGAAGACTATTCAGTCTCTGTTAGGATGGGAACACGAGGTCTGTCCTTGCAGGGCCCTGGCTGCTAAGAAGAGTAGGCCCCTAGCAACAGTTAAGGCCTAAGCTAGGACACCCTCCTCCACTCCCAAACACCTGGCTTCAAGTTTCCACTGTGCAAAGCACAGCCCAGCCTTCCCCACTTCACAAAGGATCTGCAGTTAGCTTCTGGTTGCTAAGGATGCATGTTCCCTAGCAACTAGGCCTTCAGGGTCTGAGGGCTTCTCCCAGTGCAAAGCACTGTCCTATACATCCTTACCTTGCCAGATCCTGGTTGCTAAAGAGGAGTTTAGGCGCCCGCCAATGGGGTTTAGTGTTCCATAAACTCTCCCAGAGCTGGGCCCCTCTCAGAGACCTGGTTGCTTAGACACCTCAGCCCTCTTAGCAAACAGAAGCGAGATATAAGTGGTCCCAATGACCATGACCAGTCTCTGACCTGCTGGCCTTGAATGGAGGCCAGCTGCCTCCTCCCTACCAGGAGTGTGTTGTTAGAGAAGTTGTCCCTTAGCAAAAGGGCTATCCTGAGATGACCCTAGAGGAATACACCTAGGATCCCAGCCCTGAATCTGGTTGCTAAGAAGTGCCACTCTTTAGTAACAAAGACCACCCAGGTCTGAAAGATGCCTGCACACACATGCCTCTCATTTAATTTAAAGCCCAGTTCCTGTTTGCTAGCTTAGGGCAAATCCAGTCCCTAGCAGCTGGGCCCTGCAGCAAGAGAGCCACTGGTCTACATTTGGCTCATGGGCTAGTTCTCACGGCTTCAAGCAGTTGTCTTTTTTCTTTTGGAAAGGTTTTTGCTATAGGGCCCGTGCACTCGCCAGAAAGACGAGGGGGATGGCCACGCCACAATCTCTTCATTCTCCTCTCGGGATCTTGGGCACGCACACACATGCATGTGGCGTGAGTTTAAGCTACCGGGTCTGGGACTCGAACTGCAGTCAGCTACGTGGGAGCCCAGCGACATAGCCATTATGCCAACTGCTGGTCCTGGGAGTCTAGCACCTTTAACCCCCACGCCAACTGCTAGTCCTGAGCAGTTGTGTCTTACACAAAAACATGGCCAACCAAGTCTTATGAGAGAAGCCCCTAGCTCTTGCTAGGCAAGACCCCAGGAGTGGCAGAAGCAAAATGCTGCCAGGATGATGTCACTGCCCAAGTCACCCCAAATTGGAATGTGGCCCTGGCTGCTCATGGGGACCTGCGGCTTCTCACCAGTGAGAAGTCCAGAGCCAGGAAACAAGGATGGCAAAGTTTGTATCCCGGGCAGCTGTAGCCGCTCTGAAGGATGCCCCATCAGAGAGCAAAGGCCCAGCCTTAGTCCGACTCGCTGCTAGGAAGCAGCAGGCCAACATCCCATTGCTAAGGAAGGCTCTTTTTTTTTGAGAGGTTTTTTGGCTACAGGGCGCGTGCGCTCACCAGACAGAGAAACAGAAAGCAAGAAATCACCCCCCAGGGGGGATGGCCACGCCACAATCCCTTCTCCTCCGTTCTCCTCTCGGGATTTTGGGCACACACCCACACACGCCCGGCGTGAGTTTAAGCCACTGGGTCCGGGACTCGAACCACGGTCGACTATTTGGGAGTACAACGACATAGCCATTACGCTAACTGCTGGTCCCAAGGAAGGCTGTCTTTAGCAGCTGTGCCTGGTGGAGCCCAAGCCCATGGAGGGTTCTGGTTCCAAGTGACAGGAAAAGCTCCAAGCCTATGCAGCCAGACATAGCGGGACTGGTGGGGTCTGCGTCACACAGTGACATGTCTGCATAAATCTCAGGCCCAACCTTGTCCTCTTATGCCCTGTGGCCAACGGCCAGTCCTTGGCTGCATACCAGGAGAGCCTGAGTGCCTGGGTCCCACTCCTGTGGTGCTCACCTTCTGCTCCTCTGGCACCTGGATCTTCCTCGCCTTCTTCATGATTGGCTGGGGCTTCAGTTCTTCCTCCGAGAAGCGATGTCTCCGAGGGTCAAAGGTCTCATGGCCAGGAATGCTTGACAGGGCAAGATCTGCTGGGTCAGGTTCAAAGGTCATCAGCACCTCCACTGTGTCTGGGTCCACAGGACTGGGTGTGTCCCGAGAGGTCAGGCCTGGGAGAGACAGAAAGTGGCACTTGACTGTGTATTTTGGGAAGGGGATCCTTATTAGTCACTCCTTGCTCTGGGGTCATACCTGCTACAGCCCCTTCTGGGGTCTACCTCTCGAACATAAAACACCAAGGGTCCCTAAGCAACAAAGATGCTTAGATATTAGGGAGCCTACTCCGGTTCCACAAACAGGGAAACTGAGGCCTGTCATACGTGACTTACCCTAAGTAACACAGGCAGGGCTACTGCTTCTAAAACCTCAGGACTTCAGATTCAGGGTTAGTGTCTTGCCCATATTCTAGCCTGAATCCTGCAACAAAATTTAGCCC